GTGGAATGTTGTACAACCTCAAAGAGAAAAAAAAGGGCAACATACTCATTCACAAGCTCACGTACTTGCACATACACACATGTGTGTTCACACTCACATACCGTACCCATAGGACTGCATGGACCTTAGGAACCTTGTTTTGTTTTCTATCCATCCTCCTCTCCCCCTTCCCCTTCCCCTTTTCCACTCCTTTTTCCCTTTCCCCTTTCCTCTTTCCCCACCCCCCACCCCCATTCTCTTCTCCCCCCCTCTCTTTTCTTTCTTGTGCCCCCCCCCCCTCTCAGGTATGGCGCGGCTACAAAGGTAACGTGTACTTTGAGCCACTCACCATACACCAGGTGAAGAACTCACTGGGAAACAAGTCTGCTGACCTTGAACCCCGGGGGTCAGTGTCTATGTCAGTGTCCCCTTCCAAGACCGTAACCCCCCGTGTACCGACCCGAGCTACGACCGCTGGGGGGTCCAGCAAGTCGTACAGACTGATCAACTCCTCCCCTCAGGTCTACGTCATGGACAAACAGGCTGTGGTCGGCTCGCTGGGCGAAGGTATCCAACGAGAGCTCAGATACATCGAGGGATTGGAGTCTACCGGGAGTCTGGCCATGCGGCCCATGAGTAGTGGGGCCACCTTTCACAGAGCGGGGCCCACCTCGAGGCGAATGCTTTACAAGCGCGATCGGATCTGTCGTGGGTCAAACTTCCATGTGGGTGAGAACGCGTGCCCACGGGGTGGGGCGGGAGGCACTGGGGTTGGTGGCGGTGGGAGTACGGACGCGATCAGTAGGCGGAGTTCGTATGCTAGTAGTCGCTTCACCAACCGTAAACAATACAGTCAGAGCGCGGGCCCGGTGTCACGCCCACACCACGCCTCTCGGTCACGCCCACCTCCACACAATGGAGCCCAAGAGCTGGTTGTCAGTGGCGACAAGTTTGCTCCGCCCACTGTTATGTCACCACTTCTAAGAACCACAACTCAGTTCTCCCTGAGCCACCAGCGCTCGCCCATTGACAGCCCTGATTTGTTGCGAGAGTACGAGCAGTTACCCCCGATGGAGCAGGTCAGCGTGAGTCTGCGACACATGGACATACAGGAAGGGAGGGATGACCTGGAGTCGAGACCTTCCTCATACACGGAAGAGCTGAAACCTTTCATCAAATACAGCCCAGATGTCAAGGGCAGCTATGAGAGGAACGTGGTTAACACCTGCTGAGTGATGTGTCGAGGGATAGTGTGTTAACACCTGCTGAGTGATGTGTCGAGGGATAGTGTGTTAACACTTGCTGAGTGATGTGTCGAGGGATAGTGTGTTAACACCTGCTGAGTAATGTGTCAAGGAGTTGTGTATTGACACCTGCTGAGTGGTGTGTCAAGGAGTTGTAGTTAGCACCTGCTGAGTATGAGTAGTGTGTGGATACATGCTTAGTGGTGTGTCAATACATGCTTAGGGGTGTGTTGACATGTGCTTAGTGATGTGTTGATACATGCTCAGTAGTGTGTCAATGGTAGTGTGTTGGCACCTGCTGAGTAGTGTTTTGATACCGGCTGAGTGGTTCTGTACATGCTTAGTGGTGTGTCAATACATGCTTAGTGGTGTGTCGATACATGCATAGAGGTGTGTGATACCTGCTTAGTGGTGTGTTGATACCTGCTTAGTGGTGTGTTAATACCTGCTTAGTGGTGTGTACTTGCTTAGTGGTTCTGTACATGCTTAGTGGTGTGTTGATACCTGCCTAGTGGTGGTGTGTTGATACATGCTTAGTGGTGTGTCAGTACATGCTTAGTGGTGTGTCAGTACACGGTTAGTGGTGTCAGTGTGTAGTGTGTTGACACCTGTTGAGTAGTGTGTTGATACAGGCTGAATGGTGTCAGTACATGCTTGAAGGTGGGTCAGTACATGCTGAGAGAGGTGTGAGAGGAATCTGGTGCTGAATGTTTAGTGACAGGTGACCAGTAGTGACCACCTTTAGCAAGGAAGAGGACACACAGGATGCCTTGAGTCTACAGTTTCTCAGGATTTTTCTTAACACCTGCTTGGATATATATATGAGACCCTCATGACTTTTATTGAATATCCCGAAAATTTTTTTGACAAAAATAAAAAAGATTATCCTGAAAACAGGAGTACTGCCTGTCCAACTCCCTGAAATAGTAACAGTGTTACAAACTCATGAACTCTTACGGATGTGCACTGCGGAAATCTTTTTTCCTTTTTTTCTTTTGAATATGAAATGATTTTTACTTTCATTAGCACCCCAAAAATGATAACAGGTCCCTTGAATTTTATGAAAGTGATTTTCTATGAAAACCTTTTCTCATTTGCCTGTTTTAGTGGTGTGTAAGCTATTCTTGCTCTTTCTATTACTGGTGCAGAAGATATCTTCTGTGTGTGATTTTTCTGTTTGATAAAACTGCTCCCAAAGGACTAGCAGTATAACTGTTTAAACTTTGAAGGATGTGCAGTCATTTTCAGTAGAAATAGCTGAGTATTGTTAAGAATAGTTCTAAAATTGTTGTGAAGATTGATGGTAGTACTCAATTTGACTCTGACTGGCATGAGATGCATTTAAGGTTTCTGGGACAGATGGAATAGCTTGCTGGTAGTTCCTTCCTTTACACAAATCTGAAGCAGCATTGAAGAGATTTCAGAGTGGGTCAAAATTCCCTGATAATCTCACACAGGGTCAGATTCTGAATTTGCCAAGCAGATTTCTCTAGCCACAATTCTTATTATCTGATATTTTCTGTGATATGAGCAGGAGCTTTATGTGAGAGCATTGTTGTGCCAGAAAGAGACATTTTATCTTGTGTTTGTCGAATGAAGCTGTCCACCTATTGTAACACGTTTCTCTGTCATGTCTTATAATTTCTTTCAGTAATTCCATGTTAGATAATTATGAAATTTTCACATTTATAAGCAGCATTCCATACATTTCAGTATTTCCTGAGCCAAAGTATACACTTCAGTTATCAAGGAAAAGTTTCTTTTGTTAATGTCAGTATTTCAGTGAGTGGTTGGAGAGCTCTATACTGGTAGGTCCTACTTCTGTCTGTCTGTCTGTCTGTCTGTCTGTCTGTCTGTCTGTCTGTCTGTCTGTCTGTCTGTCTGTCTGTCTGTCTTTTCCTGCATTTAATAACCATTATTGTGTCAATGTGCTTCTGTTAACTCAAACAAACGATAATTCAGCAACAATGCATCAACAATCCTGTCTTACACAAGCTTTTGTGCTGCAAACATTGTCAAGCTTTTGTACTCATAACAAGTTATTAAACATTATTAAACATTTTCAGTTTGGTAGGAATTAATTTTGAATTTTGCCCGGGTGGTGGCCGAAGCCTATTCTTATCAATTTTGGACCACCAAGGGATCTTTAACTTGTGCAACTTGCACACAGGACCTCTGAGATTTTTCTCCCTTATCAGAGAAGGCTGGGCGTTAAATCTTATCTACCCAACAGGGTGTAGCTGAAAGACAGAGGTAAGAATAAACTGAGGAGTAGCAGTACAAAGGCTACAGAAAGGCTGCTTGTCTTAGGGTTATGACAACAGAAGGCTATTCAGTGACACTCCTCCTAGATTTTATATTGACACACATGTTCTGACACAGCTGTGTTATTAATTTTATTACTTGAAGTCATAATAGACAATGTTGTCTTTCGTCACAACACTTCATTGTGGACCATGTCTTATCTTTTTAAAAATCTTTTGGCCTGCTCTGGAGGATAGCTCTGTGTATTAGCTCTTTTAGATAACTCTATACAGTATCAATTGGTGTTATAGGCTAATCATGTAACATGTCATCCCCAGAAAAAAAAATTATCACAAAAAGCCTTTCTGATATAAATGACGTAAAATATGAAAAAATAAAAAGGTCACCTCCAAATTTTACTTTATTTTTACTTAGTTATAGTGCTTGCTGACTCCTGATTCTTACTGAGGACTCACAAATCAATTTTAGAAATTGTTTAATTGAAGAAGAAAGAAAAAGTTGACCTGTTTCTTCCACTTACTTGGTTATTTTTTTTGTCTTGGTAAGTGTTTTACGGCGCTCGCAACTGCATAAATAAGGTCATATGAGTTGGCGGGACACATTAAACATTTTCAGTTTGGTAGGAATTAATTTAGAATTTTGCTCGGGTGGTGGCCGAAGCCTACTCTTGTCAATTTTGGACCACCAAAGGATCTTTAACTTGTGCAACTTGCACACGGGCCGGGACCTCCGAGATTTTTTGCCCTTATCGGAGAAGGCTGGGCGTTAGATCTTACCTACCCAACAGGATGTAGCTGAAAGACAGAGGTAAGAATAAACCAAGGAGTAGCACTACAAATGCTGCAGAAAGAGTCAGGAGCTTAGAAGGCGAGGCAAAAGGGGGTGGGGGTGAGGGGGCAGAAATTACTTGGTTAGAGTATAACACCATCGATGTGTGTTATCTGTGGAGGATAGATTGTGTTGTTTAAAGAGATAACTCTGTATAATGATATTTTATTTAATATATTATGTGTATGCTATCTCCAGAAGATAGACCATCTTTATTTTTTTGTTTATTTTGTCTTGAGGATAACTCTGATGAAGACTAAAGGTTTTTGTTTTTTCATATCTGTCAATGATTGGATTGCTGGAAACAATTTTTTCCCTGTAGGACTGTTCTATTTTTGTACGGCTCGTCTTTGTTTGTTAAAGCATAAGAGTGTTCAGTTTGTTCATCAAGCTCAGTAAATGATGACTTGTGGAAATGCCATGGCCACTTGTGCTACTCTCAACAGATCAAGAATGCTGTCCTTGGAGTTTCTTGTCTGCCGGTTTTCACTGTCATGTTCTGTAGCTCAAGGCTGACTGGCATATTTAGTGCTCTTTGTAATAAAACCAGAATATATTAGACCTTGTACTGTCATATCTTAGATCCTAATTTACATTATTTACAATGTGCATCTGATGACCTAATGCACATTAAATTAAGAGGGGGGGGGGGGAGGCTGGCATGGCTTGGCTTGAGACATTCGCTGTTTGAGTTTTTTTCCCTCATTGAATATCATCAGAGGTCTGCTGTGCCCCCTGTGTGTCAAATACAACTGTGATATATTTTTCTACTAACAAATAAAGAACTTGAAACCCAAACCATGAACGTTGTTTTTTTGTTGATACTCAGCTCTCTGTCAATGTTTTAGTCCCATTGACACAAGTGAGGTGATGTAGCTCCCTGTTGTTTGACAACCCAAGTGACTCTAGTGAAGTCAACTTGCTCCCTGTTTATGATTGTCAACGCATACGTTTCACTGACACAAGAGATGTTGAGCTCTCCCTGTCAATGTTTTACAGCCCCAATGATTCAAGTGAGGTTAACTAGCTCCCTTTTTATGATTTTCTATGTTTAACAGCCTCAGCCACACAAGGAAGATAAACTTTGAGGCCGACGTCTTCCACCCTGTTCGTCAGGACAAACTCGGGCTGTGTGGGGTACATTCCAGCCACAACAGAGAGATAGGGATGTTTGATAAATTATATATCTTCCCTAGATGAATATTGACTTCATGTCTTCTACTTGCAAGGCGAAAAACCTGACCATTACATACACAACAAACTGTGGTAAACGGACGGAAGAAATGACTTGTGTGGCAGTTCTTGTCTTTGTGAACTGTAAGATTGTGCAAACCACTACGTCATGTAGATAGCCATACACAACTCTGTGATGATCAGTTCTTACATTATATTATTATATATATGTATACAGAATATACACTTATATTTCTAATCTTAATTTTACAAAATTGCCATAATTGTTGTTAATTACGTACGGTACTTGATATTTGTGGCATAGCCATACCACACCTGTGATTTATCTAAACCAATTTTACCATTTGTCCTTGCCTTTGTACAGTGAATTACCAAGGACTTCTCCATCCCTAGGATACAATATCACATATGGTGATAGGAGAGAATGAATAATTGACAAAAATGTTTGCAAGTTGTTCATCTCATATTAATCATAGTCAAAGATTTTTGTGACATTTTGTTCTGCACGTTTTTACATACAGGTACTTCCATTTTGGTTCATTGAAAGATAAAGAAAGCATGTAGCCTATGCTATGATCCAAATGTATCTACTTGGTTACCTCCCTGGGCTTATTGGGGCAGAATGTAGTTATTTGCTCATGGAAATGTTTTTGTGTGTGAATACTTGATAAAACTCTTGTTGTTCATGATGCGTTTATATCAAGGGCCGGGTGAAAGACTCTGACACTGACAGACGCCAAGTTGCTTAACCCTATCCGTACGCCCTGGGGTCATTTTGCACCCCCGACGTTGTATTCTTCAAATTTTAGAATACTTCTAGTTTGAAGATCTCTTTGAGACTTTCAGTATTTTTCAAAAAAATCATTTTGACAGACTGCTATGCAATGCGTACAGATTGGATTAACGAGTAAATTTCCTCTTTGGAAAGTGGTGGCACAGAGTTTTCCACGTTGTATGGATACGATAATAAAACACGACGTACGGATAGGCTTAATGACTTTAGTCAGAACCTCGCATCCAGCCATCAATATCGGCCTACATGTGTTTTATAATATCCAACAAGTTCAGCATTCTTGTTTATCTTCAGCCAAAATCAAATCAAACTATATTTACATCAATGTATTCTGAGGGTCTTTGACAGGACCCATCTCTCATCCAGGGAAACATTTATGTGTACATTTTAATGATACATATCTATAACAGTATTGCTACACTTAATGAAAAGTATTGTAAAAGGATTTCTCCACTGGACTCAGTTCATCAGTGATTTTCTCCTGTAGAGACATTTACAGAACTGTACAATTTGATGACTTCAAGAAAGCAAAAACTTTCAACTCTCAACGAAAAGTCACATACTAAACTCATACCTTTCTTTCTCTTATTCATCAATGTGCTACAATACATGAACAGTATAACGACCAGTCCGATTTCTCATTTCCAAGTAAATTGAAACAGACATCTCAATTTCACTTCATTTCCCAATGTAGGCCATACCAATTTCTTTTTTTATCACTAGAACTTTTTGTGGCACATTTCTTCTTCTGTCACAAGGAATGCCATTGTTCCTAAGTTTGAGTGTTGTCAAAGTCTTGACTTGAGCTGTTAATGTTATCATAGTATAATGTCATATACTTGCTAAGATTTCCTTTTTGTGCTTCTACATCTCTTGTTCTCTGCTTATACATGTAATGTGAGAGTACATATTATATATATTCAGTAAAACCCTGATAACACGAACTTCGTGGGACCTGACAATTTCCTTGCGTTAAGCAGATTTTGTGTAAAGAGAAGTTGTAATGTATGAAATAAAGAGGGGAAACAAAAACTGTGGCTTTGAAGTCCTTTCATGGTAACAGGTATTTCATGTAAAACAGCTTTGTGTTAAACAAAGTCCACTGCATACGGACTACATATTTGCTGTTTATGACTATGAAAATTGTATTCTCATTTACATAAATTAAATGCATTAAATAGAAAGATTTATCTCCATTTATTTTTTTTGACTGTCTTTAGTTGAGGAGTCTGCTGAAGAAACTCCCCACTCCCCTATTTTTAAAAAAGAAATAATTTAATGTGTCATGCTTCACTTGAAACAATTACATTTGATTAATGTCACTCCTCTGGCTTCTCTTGAAACTGCTACATGTGATAAATGCCACAGTTGATGGTTTAGTGGATTCCCTGGTGTAGTTTGCTTCTTCTTTCTTATCAAACATCTGTTGCCTTTATTTCTCCTCCTTCCTATTTATTTATGTACTCGTAACACCTCTGATCTTCGAAACTTATATTACCTATTTGTGTTGCAAGTGCTGTAAAACTCACTCAACTAAACTGTCTATTCTTCGTGTTCATGACATTTGGTTTTTTTTGCCTCCATGGGAACAGTTATCATGTTGTTTATAGTAAACCAGCTTGACAACAGTCACATTCAAACGCAGACATATCGCTACCTCAGAATTACACAGTTTTATCTGCTCAGTACCTAGTTTTGAGAAATTTGACGGCAAAGACTTTAAGTTTCACATCATGTCAAGCTTTTTCCAATGCAGTTCTTTGAATATATCTTGATAATGACTTCGAATAATTTTTCGATTTTAATAGAGCAGATAGAATATCTGGTTTCTGACCTCATGATCTTATTCACTCGATACGGCCAAAAATGTCAGACAGAGCTTTGTAATTATGAGGTCGCGATATGGAGCCAGCTACATTCAACCGTAGACATGTGCAGAACAGCCAAAATCACCCACACAACCACAAAACACAGACATATATGGGGAAAACAGCCACAGTCAACCACAGACATATGGGGATGATATAATCTAAGATCAACCCAAAGAAATAGATCAAACAAGAACACCTGCTAACCAACCGCCCCTTGAAAGTAAAGACAAAACTCAGTGACACAGAAGCTGGAAGCTATTCATGAGGGACATGTTTATTTCTCATGTGAAATTGCCACATCGACCGATGTCTTGACAACATATGTTGTGTCAATATCAGACAGTCCAATCTCACGGCACACAGTGTACATAATGTCAGTCATAAAACACAATTGCCACAGTCATTTTTTTCGTGTTTCTAGAAAATTGCTTTGTAAAGGTGCATGTTCCTTGTTCCACATCATCCACATGGTGGAGTTTTGCTTTGTGTACTTTGTAGAAATCCAGTTATTTGAGACGTTTTTCACTTTTACTTTAATCATAATGTTGACATAGATAAGCAGTTTAAAAAAAAGATTTCTCAGCCCTCTCCGTCACCCCTCCCCCCCAAAAAAAAAAATAAAACATTTTAAATTCTAAATCGACTAAGGCAATTGTATTATGAGTAACAGGATAAGCCTCATGAAGTCCTCTAATTTAATACATGAACATTGACTTGGACGGAATATTTTAGAACAGTCGTAACAGTCACAACCATATTGTGAGAACAAACATACAAAATAAGAGTTAAATAAAATTTAAAGTTAACAGATGTACAAATTCAAAATAAAATAAATACCTATAATGTGAAAACATTTCTTAAACATTTTAAATAATTTACTGATCAAACCATGGAAATAAAAAATAAAATTTTCACTAAAAGACAACAGCAACCTCCCCCCCCCCCCTCCCCCGTGACTAAACATGAAACAAAAATCATGTTAAACTGCATGATAAAGAGAAAGTCCTTTTTTTTTTGTTTGAATAAAAAGAAGTATATGGACACATTATTACGGTCAGAGTGCTGAAAAAATGTCAGACAGACGGAACCAAGAGAGGGAAAAAAAGAAGTAGATCTAGAATAGATCTACTAGTTGCACCCTCCACCCACCTACATATATGACACAATCAGAGTAAGAGAAAAAAGAGCATAATAACAAAGATTGACCAGACCCGAAGGACGGACGTGGATTTTTATAAAGCTGAGATATCACAGTCTTGATGGGTGAATCAAAATCAGTATGGTACAACACTCAAAGCTTCAACAGGCAAACATTATCACGTTAAAATAATCATCACAAAGTCTATAACATTGAAGAAACAAAGATGTTACTAATTCATTTATAGAATGTCTTTATAGAGTAGATTGACAGTCTGTTAGGTGTTAATGTCTAGGTCAGTCCAGGTCATGCTAATGGTCAGCATGTGTGTGCCTGAGTGTGTATGTGCTAGTGTGCACGAGTGCCAGCGCATACAATGTACATGTAACTAGGTGTGTCCGTATATTTGTGGAACTGCCTCCATGTGTGTGTGTGTGTGTGTGTGTGTGTGTGTGTGTGTGTGTGTGTGTGTGTGTGTGTGTGTGTGTGTGTGTGTGTGTGTGTGTGTGATTTTGTTTGTAATAGTGAGCATGAATGTCTGCGTTTACAATATATCTGTAACAGTGTTTGTCCTTCGTGTGCCTGCCTCCATGTGTGTGTGACAAGTGTCCCTCCCCATCCCTCTTTCAAGAAAAAGATTCACCTCGGTCTGTGTCTGAGTGTCGGCAAGTCTCCATGCGAGTGAGTGATGACCAGCGCTCTAATAATTTTTCAGGAGAAGCATCATGATTCTCTCACTCCCCCCTACTGTGTGCTGTGTGCCTCTCTGTCGGTGGATGTTTGTGTAGGGTTACTTAAAACCAGTCTTGAGAAACATTTTTGCCTTGGTCTTCAGCCCCTTGTCCATGTATGTGTGTGTGTGTGTGTGTGTCTGTGAGTGTGGGTGCGCGTGCGTGCGTGCGTGCATGCATGCACGCGCATATATGCCTCTGTGTCCATCTAATCGTTCTTCAGGAACAGGGCGGCCCCGGTCTGCAGCCACTGGTCCTTGTTTCCCCCACAGGGCACCTCTAGTTGAGTCACAATCCGATCACGAGCGGCCCAGTAGTAGATGGGAAGTGAGATGGTCTCCTCCATGCCATAGGGGTCCGGGGAATCCTGACAGAAGAACAAACAAAACAGACAATAACAATACTGGCACTGGGGTGTTGTGTCAATCTATGGCAGGGCACATGGAGGTATCGCTGACACAGTGGGGGGAGTCTATCACAGAACTACCTGCACCTCCCCCCCCACCCAACAAACATTTGTTTGTTTGAGTTAAGAAAAGTACATCAACACAATAATGCTCATTTAGTGCTGCGAAAAAGTAAGACAGACAGAAACAACAGAGGGAAAGTAAAAAAGTAGGACCTACCGGCGGTGCCTTCCAACTGCAACCTCCCCCCCCTCCCCCTCAAACAAACAAACATACTCACAGATAAGTAAACAAACAAGTAAACAGAAATGCGGCCCTGACCTTGGGAATCCATGACACGACACATGGCGGTATGGCCGACACAGTGGAAGAGTCTCGTTGGTTCTCAGCGAGTCGACTCCCATCAAACGTACATCCCTCCAGCATGAGGCCGCCAATCTTTATGATGGTCTTTGCACCCTGCACTGACCCTCGCCACGTGCAGGCAAACTTGAGACTGTCCATAGAACACTTGCTCTCTCTGGAATAATTCCAACATGAGGGTTACAAACTGAGCTATGTTCATACACATGTTTGGAAATGGTAAAAACAACAACTTGGAAACGTGTGGTAAAAACAGTTATGGGATACATAGGTGTACCAAAAACAAAGCTTCTACCAACACATAGTTGTGGTAAAAAACAGAGCTCGTGGCAACACAGGTGGCAAAATATAGAGCTATGTGGCTACACTGGTGTGCTAGAAATAGTTCTGTTGATACATAGATGAACCTGCTCTAAAGGCCACCTATCCGTGACAATCACCTGTACAAAAGACCACTTCCCACCTTGCACTTTTTTGGGTGTATTATTATGACACTGTCTTGGACAACCACTTTTTTTCCTTGACATAGGGTGACCCTCTTGGACAATATTGACTGAATTAATTTCTGATGAAATATTTTGTGAGTAAAAGAGCCTACCTAGCAATCTGCTGTCTGAATGCGTTGAGGAAAGTGTCAGGTCGGAACAATTCTGACAGATCTAATGTCTCCCGCAGCAAGGCCCCCGACTCTGCCCGCTCTACCCATGTCTGGATGGCAGAGGCACGTGTCACAAGTCCCCGCAGGTATTGGATCGGATCCTCCGGCCCGTCCCATTGGCTCAGCCACTTCAGAGGTGTCTGTGGAGACAGAAGATCATAAGGGCTGAAGTAACTGTGTCATACCAGAGTGTGTGTGTAGCGGGTTGTGTCCTGTGTGTGCGTGTGATTTAGTGGGTTGTGTCCTGTGTGTGCGTGTGATTTAGTGGGTTGTGTCCTGTGTGTGCGTGTGATTTAGTGGGTTGTGTCCTGTGTGTGTGAGGTGCGTCAAGAAAAACCTCAGTATTTTGCAACGACATTTAAAGTGCCTTAACAAACTGGATGACATTTTATGGCCTAAACGAACATAGAATTTTATGAGCAAAAAACAAATGACATTTTGTAGCCTTAAACTTCATTGGCAAAAAACCTATATGACATTTCACAATCCTAAACAAACAGGAGTATGTGTACCAAACATATTCCCCTCATCACACAGCCCACCTTAAAAAAAACAAACAAACCATACAGAACAACAGACCATGACCCTAAGCACTGACCTCCTGGTTGAGAAGAGCAGCAGCCAGGTTCTGCACGTCAGAGGTCAACAGCTGTGTGCCCCGGATGACCTTGCTCAAGGCCGCCAGCGAGCCGTGCACCAGCTGTACCAGCTTGATGGAATTGTAGCGCTCTAGGAGGACAAAGGTCAACACGGGAGAGTCTTGGCCTGACCTCTCGGCAGGGGGCGAGACCTTGGTCTGGATCAGGTTCTGACCCTGATGGGGAACATAATGTACACAGGTCAAAGGTTAGGTGATAAAACATGGTGAGGAGAAATCATTGGTCAAAGGCTAGATGATAGTATAAAGGAAAATCTATGTCAGTTTAAGTTCAAGTGATAGTATAAAGAAGATACCACACAAGTCAAATTAGGGTGATAGTATGGTGGTGCAAAAGGG